TTACATCCCCCAAATTTCCATGAAATTTTAATAAAAACATAATATATGAAAACATTAATAACAAATATAAAAATAGACAGACTCATGAGACAGAACAGTACCCAAAGGAAACATTATAAATGAAAACAATCCTATCAAAAATTAGCACACTTATAAATCTACAAAAAATTAAGACAGCACGGTATCGGCACAGGAACAGACACATATATATCAATGAAACAGAAGATTAGAAATAGCCCCAACACACATGTATCTGATCAAAGTGTCATTTCAAAAAGAAAATGAGAAAAGTTGGATTATTCAATAAATGATGTTGGATGACTCAGTATAACCATCTCAGAAAAAAAAAAAAGTCAGACCTGTACCTCACCAAAATAAATTATAGATGAATCAAAAGATTTAAATTTAAAACATTTTTAAGAAATCTACTATAAAATACCATGGGAAAATTTTTATAAACCTGGAGTAGGAGAGAGTGTCTTTAAATGGCACGAAAGCCAGAAGCCATAAAAGAAAAGATTGATATGTTCATCTAAGTAAAAATAAAAAACTAGTAGATAGCAAAAACCACCATATACAAAATCAAAGACAAATGACATACAAGGAAAAAATATTTGCAACCTATATTACAAAGGGTTTTCTTTAATGAGTTTCCATAAATCAATATGAAAAAGGCTAATAACTCAATTTTTTAAAAAGTCCAATGATATGAAAAGATGGTTCACAGAAAAAGTATAAATGATTCAAATACATAAAGAGATACTCAATCTCACTCATATATGCTCATTAAATCTATGAAGAATGTCAAAAGTGAAAAAAATTGGTACCATGCTAGTGAGATGAAAAAGGCTCTCTCATCTACTGCTGCTAAGAACAGAAATTGCTATAATCCCTGCAGAGGACAATCAGGCAATATCTGTCAAAAGAATAATCATTCCTTCTGACCAACAATTCTATTTCTAGGAATTTAACTTGCAGATAAATGTGCAAAATGGCCCATTTATAAGTTAGGTATTACCACACAGTTTGACATAGCAAATAAAAAGGAATAACCGAAATGCCTACCAATGTGAGCCCAGTATCACTTAATGGTACATCCAAACAATGAAATATTATGTTATCTAATATTTTCATTAAAAATAAAGAGGGTACTCTTGGACATGCCTGTATACAAATATTCACAGCAGCTTTATTCACAATAGCCAAAAATTGAAAACTCAGATGTCTTTCAAAGGGTAATGGATAAACAAAACTGGTGCATCCATACTATAGAATACTATTCAGCAATAAAAAGAAATAAAACATACAATTCTCTAGGGAACTATGTTGAGTGAAAAGAAGCCAATTCTGAATGTATGATTCCATTTACACAACTGTTTATAAAACGCCATCTACATCACTTTCTTGGAATGACAAATTTAATAGCTGAACAGGTTGCCAGAAGTTAAGGAGACAGTGGGGATGAGAGAGAAGTGGGGGTGTCTACAGAAGCGCAACACAAAGGATCCCATGGTGACAGAACTGTTCTTTATCTTTACTGTAGCAATGTCAATAAACTGATTGTGATATTGTTCCATAGGTTTACAAAATACTACCATTGGGGAAAACTGGATAAAGGTTGCACAGGGATTTCTCTGAATTGTTTCTAATAACTGCATGCGAATCTACAATGATCTCAAAATAAAGTTTAATTTAAATTATAAAAAAAAAAAGAGAGAGAAGCAGGAAGCTCTTTATCTACCATTTTGCAAAGATCTCTGAAACATACTGTCAGATGAAAAAGCATGGAAGAGAACAGTATGCTTGCTATTTATACATAAAAAAGAAGAAAAATGTTTATATTTGTGTATACATAAGATATCTCTGGAAAAGTAAACCAAAGATTGACAATACTATATACCTGTGGAAAGGAAGAACTAGGAAGCTAAAAAACAGATGTGGGAAGCTTTTTACTGTAAACTCTTTTTTATAGATTATGAATTTTAAAATGTGGAATATATTATTAAAAAATAACAATTTGAGAATAACATTTAGCTTAGATTCTTGCCTCACACTATATACCAAAGTCAATAACCATGAAGAGAATTTTAAAACTGATTACTAAAAATTTTATACTTCTGGAGAAATACTTCATAATCATAAAAGCAATTTAAGAAATTACAAAGAAAAAAGTAATAAATTTGACTAAACATTTAAAATTCATGACTATCAGAAAACCTCCAAAATTTTAAAAAGTGAATAAACTTGGAAAAATTACTTGAAGCAAAAAAAGAAAGGCTTTTTTTTAAACAAAGATCTCATACAAATTAGTAAGAAAACACTAAATCAGCAGAAGATAGGAACAAAAAAGAAAAAACCAAGTCACTAGTAACTAAAGAAATGCAAATTTAGCAAACAAAATGACATATCTACTCTTCTACCATTATACTAAATAAGAAAAAAGATTTACTTTGAAGAGTTAATATCTAATGCTGGCAAGGATGTGATTAAAGTGGCACTGCAACACTGCTAGTAATTATAACACTGTTCTCCAAAGTAGGTTGGCAATAATAATAATAAAGACTCATAAAATCTTGGTCTCAGAAGATAATTCTAAAACATAATATTAAATATTTTTTAAAATTCTAAAAATAAATTTAAAAGAGTTCTCCTTCAAGTCTCATGCTACCCAATAGAGGGTCACCAGTCTTTTCTTTGTTGAGCTCATAAGCCACCCCAATATTCTTCTTAAGTTTTTGATACAGGTTCACAAATTTTTCCATCCCGGTACTTTTTACACAGACAGCTTCAGAATGCACAGAAATAAAATATGCAAACAAATTCTAATTTTACTGTTCCTTGAATTCTTGTAGTGGTCAAGCCATTTCTCCTAAAGCAAGTCCTGCTTTGTTTTTCTTCCAGGTCAAAAGGGTCTTTGCTTCATAAAATGGCAATTATGTGTCATATCACTTATGGCTAGTTCATTGGCGTTGTACCAAACTAGTTGTAACTTCCTAATTCAACACTATTTTCTTCCAGTATAGTGAGCTATGATGGAGAGGAGATGGATAGTTGCTCTGCAATAATTTCTCACATCCAAATGAAAATAACAATTGCCATGTTCTTTCTAGTTGAGTCTCATATCTAACCCATTCTATAACAAATAATAAAATAACTACTTATCACATACCTGAGCTGAACTGTCAATATTCTCAGCATGAGTATTAACAACATTTGGAGATGGAAGCAGATCAGAGGACTCTTGAAATTTTTTATGGCTTGCATTGAGTAGACCAGATCTTTTCAAATTCTGTCTTGATACAGGTAAAAGAGGTCTTAGGCGTTTCTTACTATGAACTGGAATAGGTTCATCAGACTCCAAAGTATTCTTTGAGCATATTAAAGACAAAAATCCCAGGGGTCTTCTGCCAGGTCTAGAAATGCAAACATAAAGATATTCAAGAATATCCAGGAAGACACTTCTTTTTTTTAAATTATTAGTTTTTAAAATTACAGTCAACATACAATGTTATATTAGTGTCAGGTGTTACAGCATAGTCATTAGACATTTATATAACTTACAAAGTGATCTCCACAATAAGTCTAGTAGCCACCTGACACCATACAGTTATTACAATATTGACTCTATTCTCTATGCTACACTTTACATCCCCATGACTATTTTGTACCTGTCAATGTGTACTTCTTAATCCTATCTCCTTTTTCACCACCTCCCAACTGCCCTCCCATCTGACAACCATCAGTTTGTTCTCTGTATCTATGAGTCTGTTTCTGTTTTGTCTATTCATTTATTTTGTTCTTTAGAGTCCATATAGAGGTGAAATCATATGGTATTTGTCTTTCTCTGTCTTACTTCATCTAGTATAATATCCTCTAGGTCCATCCATGTTTTCACAAATGGTAAGATTTCATTTTTTATGGCCAAGGAATATTCCACTGAATACATGTACCACATCTTTATCCAAACATCTATCGATAGACACTTAAGTTGCTTCCATATCTTGACTATTGTAAATAATGCCACAATGAACACAGGGATGCATCTATCTTTTCAAATTAGTGTTTTGGATTTCTTCAAATAGATACCCAGAAACAGAATTGCTGGTTCATAAAGTAGTTCTATTAATTTTTTAAGGAACCACCATACTGTTTCCCATAGTGGCTACAGCAACAGTACACAATGGTTCGCTTTCAGGAAGACACATTCTTAAAACCAATTTCTCTCTATTAACCCTAAAATGGCATGCATGATATCACATTACTGGTATCAACACATGTACTTAATACTGATACCACTAAGCCATGTCATATATTTGTGACAAAAATCAAAGCTTACACTAAAGCAATACTTCTCAAGCTTAAAAGTGCACAGAGATCACAGGGGATTTTATTAAAATGATGATTCTGACTAAGTGTGAGTGGGGCCTGAGTTCTATAACAAGTTTTCAAATGATGTCCATTCTGTTGCTCCAAGGACTTTGAATGGCAAGGTTCTAAAGGAGAGTTCAGTAAACTATGGTCTATAGACCAAATGCAATCCACTCCCTGATTCTATAAACAGGTTTTATTGGAACACGACCATGCTCATCTGTTTAAATATGACTGCTTCTGCACGAAAAATGGTGTTGAGTAGTTGCAACAGAGACATACAGGCCAAAAAATCTAAAATATATACACATGATCTTTCACCAAAACATTTGCTGACTGTTGTTCTGAAACACTACTTCCCAAACAGTTTTAATGCCAAACGCCACGATGTTTCCCTCATTGTATTTTTAGAACATCTTTAGACCAAAAAAGATATTGCTGAGCTTTACTTTCAGTAATTTATATAATAAAAACAATAGATTTATTAAAGATACCTTTCCAAGGTACACGTCTTTGCCCTGCTTTCCTTTGAGTGGAGGTTAATGCATGTCTTCCCCTCTTTAAATCACCAACACCATGTTAATGATTTGAATGTTGCTAACAATAATTATCCATAACCCAGAGGCTTGCTGCTGGAGTATGAGGAAAATAATGTGGGAGAAGCTGCCTTTGGGCTTAAATTCCACATTTACTCTAATAGAAAGAAAGCCATGGTTTACCTCTTTTGTACGCCACAAGGGAGAAAAATGCGCACATTAAGTGGGACTTCAATAAAACAACATCTAGGACTTCTGAATATTAGCCCTATGTCAGACTATCTACATCTGTACTGGCAGCTACTGTATGGCAGAATAAATAATTACCAAAATAATAACCATGGACAATCTGAAAAAGAAAGTATACATTACTAAATTCTAAAGATGTTCTATCTAAAAAGTCAAAGTTTCAGTACTTAAAGTTAAGCTCTTATTATATGGAATGTATAGTTTTCTGTAACAGTCCTACAGAAGTGTCTGACATTATTCTATTTCTTCCCCTTTACGTTAATAATAGAGAAAAATGTTTCTAAAACATCATCCTTAGTACTTAATAAGTTCTTTATTTTATATATAGATAGTCTCTCTCTCTATATATATATGTTCCATATAGGTTATACTCATCTACTGAGAGAGAAATGGATAGAGAAACATTAAAGATTTTCTCATGATACCTGGATAGTGGAGTTTTTGAAGATGAAGTGACGCTATCCATCTGTTCAACCTTAGAAGCTGCACAAGTTCTTTCTTCCTTATCAGACACAATCATCTCATCCTGAGGTAACTGAGGTGTATTCTTTTCTATATGTGTATCTATTATTTTATCAAGAGATTTAGATCCTGTACTCTGAAGAATTGGTTCAAGTTGCTCTTTCTGAGGTTCTGAAGTTGTATGTGTGCTTTCTGAGGTAGGGAAGATATCTTGTCCCTTGTAAGACTTCCCTTAAAAAAAAAAGAAAATGAATGATAAGCACACATACCAAAATTAACACATCCAACTGTATTGTAATATTTGAAGGAAAAAGCCCACAATACTCTATCATAAACATGCCCTAACGACAGGAAGTTAAATTATAAATTAATAGAGTTACATAGACCCTTAAAAATATTGTAAATGGTTAAAAGCTATAACAGCTTCTGCATTCAGATACAAAATAGTCATATCAATATATTTTCACCTAAAAAACCTTTCTCTATAAATATTTCTTCAACTAACAAAATGAAAGAGTGATCACTTTCCAATTTCAGGGTACCGCTAAGGACCTATAAAAACTCCTTTACACTCAGCTTTCTAATTCCTAAAATGTAGCTGTTGAGCTTTTATAGGAAATCCTGTTGACATATAGTGTTCTATTAATTACAGGAAGAAAGTAGCATCTATGGCTACCAAAGTACTAAATCAAAGATGTCAGCAGGGAAGAAAAACTAATAATAATAAAAGCATGATTCTTAGAGAAAAGTGAACGAGATTCTACTTCAATCCCAAATTTAAACAAAATGCATAAAAATTATCAAGGGTACTCAGGAAAATGCAATCACATTAAAATTTACTTCACTTACCTCTTTCCTCAAAAACCTTTATTAATTCCTTTGAACATACCTGTTTTAAGGAAATTTACAAAAAAAATTAGAAATTCATTTATCTAATAAATTTAATTTTATTTCCTTTCTTTTTTAAGTAAAGGAAGTATTTCCCAGGAAGCTCTGGGGTCAGACATGTCTTACAGGAATTCTACCAAACATTTGTGGAAAAGACACTTTTAGCATTATTTAAACTATTTCAGAACAAAAGACAGAAAGCTTCCAAATACCTTTTATAAATCAAGCCCAAAACTGATACCAACTGAACAGTCTCACACTAGTACAAAACTATCAAATTAAATATTAAAGGCATAACTTAGCAGTACATCAAAAGACTAATATATCATGATCCAGTAGAGTTTGATTCAGGAATGCAAAATGATTCAATATTATAAAATCTACCAATATAATTCAATAGATCTGAAAAGAAAAACATTACCTTCTATTTCCAGGAAAAGTGTACAATAATATTCATTCTTAAAAAAACTTAAAATTGGCTAGACAGACATTTTCTTGAAACCATAAAATATAACTACTGTAAACCAAAAGCCAGCATCCATTTCAAAAACACTAGAAGTATTCCCATTAAAGTCAAGAATAAGAACTATTTTCTGACATTTTTTTTAGTTACATTAGTCGATATAATTAGAAAAAAGAAAAAGGTATAAAAAATAAGAGAATTAAAATTATTTTTGCATATGATTGTTTACTTAAATAAACTAAGACAATCAACTGAAGAATTTACTGCACATGAGGAAAATTCAGCAAACTCTCTAGATAGAAATGACAACAGCAACAAAAAAATATAAAAGTTCTTATGATAACCTAATAAGAAATATACCAGATTTGTATAAAGAAGACTTAAAATACCACTGAGACACACAGAAGAAGACTTAAACAAATGGAAAGACACATCGTATTTTTGGATAATAAAATTCAATCTCACAATTACTACACCAATTTTCCCTATATTAGTCTGTAATATGCTCCTAATACAAATACCAACGGGATTTTTTTTTTAAGTTCAGAAGAAGCTAATTCTAAAATTGATATGACCTTTAGAACATATAAGCAATTAGGAGAAACTTCAAAAGAGAAGAAAATTGTATGGGGGGAGAGACTATCAAAGATCTTAAAGCACTTAAAAGCTACAATTAAAACAGTGTAATACTGACCCCAGAACAAATAGGTAAATTAATGTAAGAGAAATGAAAGTTCAGAAATATACCCAAATATATATGGGAATTTAATATCTGATAAAACTGAAGTTTTAAATCCATGGAAAAAAGTTGAATTATTCAATAAATTGTACTAGGACAAATACATAGGCATCTGGGGAAAATTAAGTTGGTTCTACTCTTCCTAACACCAAAATATATTATAAACAAAGCAGTAATGTTAACTAGAAGAATTATATTAAATCTCAATGTAGATTTTCAATCCATAACATCACCAGAAGCCATACATACATACAAAGACTGATAAATGTGATCACAGGAAAACAAAAAAATATTTGCATATCTATCTGAATGCAGTACATGTGCATACTAGAATTTAAAATTATAACTATCTTTTATAAGCAATTTTTATTGTTAAAATTTGAAAACAAGATTTAGAAAATAAAAATCACAAATAAGCCCTACAGACATTATACTTTTTGTATATATATTTAGTCACACTGATGTGTATTATTTTTTAAATGATATATTAAAAACTGATGACCTAGTTTGCATATAGTAATGTACTATGATCTTTTTTCCATGTCATTAAATACGTTTTTAAAACAAAACAAAACAATGTCTGCATGGAATGCTAATAAATTGTTGAAACTGGGAGATTAGTACATAGATATACATTATACTATCTGTCTACCTCTTTAAATGTTTGAAAATGTTCATATTAAAAAGTTAACCAAAAAAGTCTGCATGAGAAAATAACATAAAGTAGAGCCAAAAGACAAATAACCAACTGGGAAAAAAATATTTGCAACTCACATTACAGACATACAAGATAAGACTAGAGACAGAAACGAGCCAGATAAATCGAAGGCCTCAGAAGTTCTGGTTTTAGCCCTCATAGCAATGAGAAGCTTTAAGCATTATGGTAATGGTGGTGCTGATATTACTATCACCATTTTATACAACAGGAAATTCAATCAGAGAGGTAAAGTATCTTGCCTAAGGGCCCACAGCAGTTAAGTGGTACAGGCCAAGATCCAGATTTGTATAATGTGTTCAGCCTTATTTTTAGCTAATGACATAGAGCTGGGAATGAGATTCCTCATTAATGCCCATCAATTTTCACCTAGAACAGGTAGAAAGTAGAAATATAAAAACAGTTTTACCTGAATTATCTATGGTGAAATGTATTAGTACTAGCTTTATATAAAGAATCTAAAGGAAAACCCAGAAAATAGATCTGTTGTAATATAGCCATCTTACTTGCTAAATGAGTCTCTTACCTCAGAGATATATTTTTGACAATCGTCTCTTAAAGTGAGTGAACTTTTTTTGGCAGAAGGACCATGGTCACTTCCATCAAGCCTACAATGAAATCTCTTCCTAGATATAAGATCCAAATTAGCAGGAGGCTTTTCAGAATCATCTCTTCCAGAATTAGATAAACACATGGCATCTGGACCAACTGAAGTTACTGGAAAACTCATACTGCACAGAAAATACATACATATTAAATCGGTGGATTAGAAGTTACTTAATGAGATTAAAGGTTCACTTATTCCAATGAATACTACCATAAAAATTCAAAGTAACATATACATGGCCACGGCCACAAAAAATGTTAGTTTTGAGCTCCATTCATACTTAAAGACTCACAATTTCCATAATACTCAATTAAATCTGAAGTATAAAAAATGTTTTCCTTGTTTGCAAAGTTAAAGTTTGATCTAAAACGTCTCCCTAATATAAAAAGCTTTAATTTCTAATGATGTTTAATAGACAATTAAGCATTTCTTAACCAATGACTGTTAAAAAACAGCTTGAGAATTCTACAATAAATAATTAAAATGAGTATCAAGAATATACAGAAATGTTACCTCTCTGTACTATCTTTGCAACTTTCTGTGAATGCATATTCATTTCAGAATTTTAAATATATATATCAGTGTTTACAAGGTAACCATACTGTTAATAGATGCCATTTTATGATCCAGCTTGCAAAGTGTTTTTAGATTGCAAAATACTTAATATACAAGTTTTATACAAAAGCATAATATTATACATTTAAATGGCATCTTTATCACATAAAAAATAAACAACTTTTTCTCTAAAAATTACCATATAATTACTACATATCTCCAGGACAATTACAAATAATGTCGGCTAATGCCTCTTTCAATCGGTACTATTAGATTCATAAAGCACCTTTCCTCCTAGCAAAAATAGTTGAGCTCATTCATTACCTCATGTCACCCTTTTCTTCTGTATTCACTGATTTGACCAATATGGGTGCTGGCAGTAAAGGGTTTGGTATTAACTGTGTAACGGTATCAGTAAATTCTTCCACTGCATTGGTTGGAATTTCCACCAGAGTTAAAATGAATGCTTGTTCATCCTCACCATCATGATGTACGTTAGCAACTAGATTCACTATCAAAGTTTAAAAGTTAGTAATGAAAAGCTGAACCATGACAGAACAAAAATCATTCATTTCATTTCTTAAAAGTCTCATGACAACTTATCACCAATAAAAAACTGAATTACACCAGAAAAAAAAGTAAATTCATAAAGGATAAAGATGATTCACTATGAAGATTTATAACTCTGAGCAACAAAATTTGCACATCAAATACTTCAAGTTCTTTTTATTAACTTAAGGGCATCATAGACTCTCCCA